CTCCTATCCCCGTGTTCTCCGTCTCTCCCTTTCCCCTCTAAGTCTCTCTCTCTCTCTCCCTCTCTCTCCCTCCTTATGTACGCTCTCTCTCTCTCTCTCTCTCTTTCTTCTCTCTATCAGTCCCTCTCTCTCTCTCTCTTTCTCTCTTCTTCCCTCCCCTGCTTCACCTCCTCCCTTCACCCTTTCGCTCCCTGCCCTCCTTTCGCAGCGAGCGCCGCTTCTGATCACCGCCGGGCACCGCGCGACGTCCGCTCGGAGCGCGAGCGGACCTGGGGAGAAGGAGGATGAGGAGGAGGAGGCGAAGGAGAAGGAGGCGGAGGAAGAGGAGGACGAGGAGAAGAAGGAGGAGGAGGAGGAGGAGGAGGACGAGGAGAAGAAGGAGGAGGAGGAGGAGGAGGAGGAGGAGGATGAGGATGAGGCGGAGGAGGAGCAGGCGGAGGAGGAGGGGGAGGCGGAGGAGGGGAGGAGGAGTAGGAGGCGGGGAGGAGAAGGAGGAGGAGGAGGCGGAGGAGGAGGAGGAGGAGGATGAGGAGGAGGAGGAGGAGGAGGAGGAGGAGGGGAGGGGGATGGGGGAGGAGGAGGGGAGGGGGGGGAGGGGAGGAGGAGGAGGGGAGGAGGAGGGGGAGGAGAGGAGGAGGAGAGAGGAGGAGGAGGAGAGAGGAGGAGGAGGAGGAGGAGGAGGAGGAGGAGAGGAGGAGGAGGAGGAGGAGGAGGAGGAGGAGGAGGAGAGGAGGAGAGAGGAGAGGAGAGGAGGAGGAGGAGAGAGGAGGAGGGAGGAGGAGGGGGGAGGGGGAGGGGGGGGAGGGAGGAGGAGGTGGAGGGGGAGGGGGAGGGGGAGGGGGGAGGAGGGGGAGGGAGGGACCCAGAACGAGACAGAGGGCTCCCGCCCGCCTCCCGCGCCGCCCTGCCAGAGTTGGCCACAGCGCCCGCACGCCCGCCCCCCCCGGGGCGGGCCCCCCCCCACCCGCTCCCGGGGGGCCCTCCTCGGGAAGTCGTGACGCCCCCCCGGGGCGCGCCCTGACGCCATCGGACACTCAACCAGAAGTTGGCCAGCGGCCCCCGCCCCCGCCCCCCCCAAGCGTGCCCCCCCCCCCCCCCACACCCGGGCGTGGCTTCCCCCCCCCCCACCTGCTCCTGGGGGCCCTTCTCTCCGGAAGCGTGGCTCCCCGCACGGGCATGCCCTGAGGATGTTGGACACGAAGACAAGCGTTGGTGGATTTCACAAGCAGTCGTGAGGACTTCCTCCGGACTCTTTCAGGATTATGTTGCCAGGATCTCCTGTAGCATGCCTGGATGGAGTCCCAAGGGAGTCTGCAGGCTTTCGTAGGCAATCTCACTTACATCCTGAGGAGTTCCTCTGTGACCCCACGGATTTTTATCCCAGGAGTCCGCAGGGTGTCCCAAGAGGGCCCCCACGATGAACAGAGCCTTCAAGTCCTTCCAGTTCTCGAACGGATTTTTAGCGATGCCGCCTGTTCTAGACCGCCTGAGATGGCCCAAGAGGCCCCAGAGATCGCCCCGAGATGGCCCGCGAGGCCCACACGTCGGCCCCACAGGGCCCCAAGACGGCCCACGAGGCCCCCCACGTGGGCCCAAGAGGCCCCGAGCGGGCCCACGAGGGGCCCGAGGAGGGGGGCCTGCGCGCGGGGTCTGCTGCCGATGGTAGGGGGCCACACGTGAGCCCTACCCTTCCCCCCCACGAGTTTTGAGGGGAGGGTCGGGTTCACTTCGCTCGGGAGCTCCCGAGCGAAGTGACCCCCCCCCTCCCCCTCGGAAATCGTGCGGGGTAGGGGTAGGGTCCACATGTGGCCCCTTCGATGGCCTCCTGGGCGCAGGCGCACCCGCCAGCTCCTGGTCGGAGTGAGGCACAGACTCTTGGAGGCTCGCGCGTACTTCTCGGATCGGCGCTGGACCCCCTGCCCCTGGCGCGCTCAGGGGGGTGGGTGGGGTTCCGATAGGAGGGATCCAGGCGTGCATCCGAAAGTGTACCAGTGGGGGCGGCATCAAGAAACTCGATGCTTTTCGTCAGGGTACCTCTGGGTTGAAGAGGCCGTTGCGTTGACTCGTCGCGGCCGTTGAAGAGGCTGCTGAGTCCAGGGTGCTCTGGGTTTCCCCCTAGGTTGCATCTCGCGCGCGGGTGGTTTCTTTGAGGGTTTCTTGCGTCCGCGTCCGCGCTGAATGTTTGCGCAGCGTTTTCTTTTTCTAGGGAGGCGGCATCACCACCAGCAGGCCTCCTCCTGCTCAGGAGGTCCACCATATGCCCCGGGCGAGCCGGAGATCGGGGATGCCCCGTGCGAGGCGCCAGAAAACGGGGAGACCACCTTGCAAGCGCAGGAGGAGCCTCGTGGCGAGGAAAACGGGGCGACGGGATGGCCCTCCCTGGTCCTTCGCGGTGGTGGTGGCTGCGCGTCCCTCTGCTCCCATCCCAGAGGCTGCGCCGCTACGGCTGCACCCGAGTGCAGATCGGCGTGCAGCACACGAACGACGACATCCTGCGCTA